ATAAATAAAAAAATCAGCCGGGCGTGGTAGCGCATGCCTGTATTTCCGGCTACTTGGAAAGCTGAGGCGGAAGGATTGCCGGAGCCCAGTAGGTCGAGGCTGCGGTGGCCAGGAGCGGCCACTGCACTCCAGTCTGGGCAACAGAGTGAGACTCCAACTCAAAAAATAAATAAATAAATAAAAATAAAAAAGTGAAAACATCAGTTAACGATGATTGAGCATTTCTATATGTTAATAACACGTTCTATGACTGTTCCCATTTTTCAGAGAGAAAGACGAGACCCAACTAGGTTAAAGCGTCTGCCCGAGCTAGTAAGAAGCAGAGCAAAACCTGAGTCTGTAAAACAAAACACAGGAAGTGTTCAGCACACAGTAAGTATTCAATCAACACATGTTGTTAGTTTTGTGACATTTTTACTATTTATGACAGTACTTGAGGGTAGGGAGCTTGTATGATGAATCGATCCTTGGGTCTCCAAACCTCAGGACCATGTGTAGACCCATTTTACAGAAAGGTTTGAGAATATAATTCTCTCCCAGTCACTCCGATAATAATCCTGGGAGCCAGACGTGAACATGCAAAAAGCAACAAAAAGCATGTATAGGCCAGGCATGGTAGATCACTCCTGTAATCCCAGCACTTTGGGAGGCAGAGGCAAGAGGACTGCCTAAATTCAGAGGTTCAAGACCAGCCTGGGCAGCTTGGCGAGACCTCAAAATAGCCTGGCATGGTGGCTTGCGCCTGAGGTTCCAGCTACTTGGAAGGCTCACATGGGCCCAGCAGGTCAAGGCTGTGGTGGCCGTGAGCGTGCCACTGCACTCCAGCCTGGGGGACAGAGGGAGACTCTGACTCAAAAAAAAAATAAAAAAATAAAAAAGCATGCAAAGAGCCTGGCCCATTATAAATGCTTTGTGTGAGCTGGCAGCACTGGCTATCTGTATTTTTTCACGTTCCTTCAGGACAAGGAGAGTATCTGATGAACCCCGTGTCTCCTGGCCTAGGCCAGTGTCCGGCGTGGAGCAGGTGCTCAGTAAAGGTTTGCCAAATGAGGCCAGGTGTGGTGGCTCATGCCTGTATTCCCAGCACTTTGGGAGGCTGAGGCGGGGGGATTGCTTGAGTCCATAAGTTTGAGACTCCAGCCTGGACAACATAGAACACACACACACACACACACACACACACACACACACACAATTAGCCGGGCGTGGCGACGACACACACACACACACACACACACACACACACACACACACTTAGCCGGGCGTCATAGAACACACACACACACCACACACACACACACACACACACACACACACACACACACACACGCC